GCTCCAAAGAACCTATATCCCGAAAATGAAAGTTATATATGCCAACAATAAGTTGCTAGAGCACTTTAAAGGCTCAAAATTGACCCCAAAATAAGGCAATGTTTACCGTTGTTTTTACGACAGAAACCGAATTAGTTATTTACAAAAATGAATCTGTCGACAGTTTTGGAATTTTATCTTTGAAACGCCACACTTTTCTTTGAAATCGCTTTATTAGTTCTCGTGCAATAAGCGTTTTTGTGAAGCTCTAAAAATTACAACTACAACATTTGAACATAGCCCCCATACCTTAAGGTAAGACGTATTCTACGTCAAAATTGGTATTCCGCAGGACTTCTTTTCAACAAAAAGGGAATAAAATAACACCTATAAAACTTTCGTATCAAATGTTTTGTGTGTGTTTCGACCCGCCCTAATGTGTATTCGTGCGTGTATGTGTGTGTCGCAGGCATGTTTATGTTTATGTTTTATTTTTACAATTTTCTTGCGCATGCAGTCATCGAAGCAAATTTCAGAAAAAATATTGTACTCATATTGTTTTTAACAAAAAAAAAAAAAATTATTAAAAATAAGTCTTTTCATTTTATGTATTTGCACCTCGCGTTGTGTTAACAATTTTCCCTAGTACACAAAAAAAAGTGACAGCACTGCGTATACGTAACTTCGGCTGCGCACTGTCACTAAGCAAAGTGCACAAAACTAAGCATTCAAGCAAGAATTAAAGGTGTATTTTTTTTTTTACAAATTTTGCGAAAGAATGTATTCTTTTTTTGTCATTAATTTAATTGGAGACAGAGTAAATTCTATTCGCTCGTACGTACGAACGCTCAAAGTGAGTGAGTTTAGTGAGCAAATATTTAGCGTGTAAATATGCTTGTATGCGTGTGTGTGCGTGTGTGTGCGTGTGCGTGTGAGAGTGCATAGTATGTATGTATATATTTATGTTTTTACTACTACATACTACTCAAAGTAGTATTATGTGGTATTTAGCACTATTTGTTTTTTTTTTTTTTTGTTTGTAAATATATAAATGTTAAAAAAAAATAATTAAGAAATAAATGTAAATGAAAAAAATTGTTTTCTGTTTCTGAATTGATTGCATAAAATATTACCCATTCACTCATTTCATGCGTATCTGGATTTCTATGATGATAATTGAGGATAAGTATGGTTGACACAACTGATGAGGCCACCATAAACATAATGCAATTGAAATAAGTTCCTAGAAGGACACAAAAATTACACAAATATTGTACGTTCGTTTGTAGTATGCATTTGAGTTTGGCACATACATACATACATACTCAAAAATGACAGATCACCACCACTACACATTTGCATATGTACAACAGGGGGAAATTATGAACGCACATACACACATATGTATGTATGTATTTAAGTACGTATGCAGATGTGTAGGTATGTAGATAGATAGGTGGTTAGGTAACTGAAATTTCTTGTTTGGTTTTTTAATAGAACAGCAATGCTTTGAGCATTTGATTCATTTGCTACAGAATTCATTACACCCACTTTATTTGGCCGGCCATGGCAAGCGCAGTATTTTCGTATTTTTATTCAAAAAAAAAAATTGTGTATATACAAAGTTGGTAAATTGTGCATCAAAATTGTATTTGAATTAAGAATTTTCTTTTTAACTTCATAGGCGTACGTACGTAAAGGCGCGTTTATTGATTGTGTGAAGAGCAAAGTTGAAACGAATTTAAGGTTGGACGTGAAATACTCATAACCGGAAACTTGAGTTTTTTTTTGGTTTGTAGTTCAATTTGTGTTAGCGGGAGTGCTTTATTTCTTACATATATATATGTGTGTATGTTCAAACAACTTCCTCTTTAAAAGTTTTAGTAGAATAATGTTCAATAAGTGAGGAACAGGAATGAGTACATTCCTTTAAACGAGATCTGCTGAGCCACGGAATTGTTGAGGTCCAAGAGTTCGGCTGGGCTGCTGAATAAGTTTTCCCAGCTTGTTGAGTCACCTGGACTCTAGGCTTGGATATCGACACAGAAAGTGGTCAATTGATTGCTCCTCAAACTCATTGCGGCAGCTTCTGTGCAGGGAATTGGTTGCTAATCACTAATGGCAGAGTGCACTGCGCTGACGACGCTGCAGATTTGTAGAGCTCCAGAAGGTCTTTCGCCTTTTCCTATTTTCCCACCACTGCAAAATTTATCTAGAGACCTTACAATCCAATTCTTTGGTTCATAACTCATTTGTAACGACTATAGCGCATTCATCTACTTTTCTACTATGCTCATAACTTGTGGTTGTATAGAGCTGTCTGCCTAGTCACTCGGCATTTTGGGGATTGAGAATTTCCTGGTAAACTGGATTTCCAGAAAGAGTGGAGGGAAGCTGTTTTTACTGAACGCTTCGAAGTATATATTTTTATGGATGTCTAAAAAATGGATTGTGGCATAGGGCCTGGGAATCCATGCTGCGAGACTAGCACTGGAACACAACAATTCCTGTCATAGATATAATTCACCTGACGTAGAAGAAACGATAGAACATCAGCTCTGTAATTGCCCAATAAATCCTTCTACTGCCGTCTAACAGACATATGCGTATAATATTAACCCACTGCAACTTCTTCGGTGCTTTAACTCCACGTGTTGGATTTGAGAGAAATAAATATCTTCTGCTGTTTTCTTGTCGTTTTTTTTTTGATCTTCTAACAAAACTCATAATTTAACCATTAAAATTGGATTTAAATCTTTCCGGTCAAACTTAACCGTTATTTATGATTATTATTTTGCCGTTATATTTTTGAATTGTATTTTTTCGATCATATCATAACAGTTATTTTCAGACAATTTTTTTTTAGATCACAGAAGGTCACAAATATGCAGTTTTCATTAAAACAAAGTAACAAAGTAACGATTATTTTTAATCCAACAAAATAAAAATCTCAAATTAACAATTAAATTTAACCAAAAAAAAAATGAGAATCCAAAATTTAACGATTATTTTAATCGAAAAAATAGCAATAAAAAAATAGCTAATTTGTAATGATTTATAAATAAAAATCCTAGTAAATATGTAACGGTTACTTTCGGTCCCTAATTATTTCGAATTTCATCACACACTTCGTTCAAATTTTCGTTTCTTCACAAAATCAATCAATTGCACTATTACGTAAACGTTTTTTTTTTCCAACAACTGTAGGCTGTTATTTTCTCATTCAATTTAAGCTGAGCTCTTTGTTCAATATTCTAACAAAATATCCATAATTTATACGAAACAAAAGTTCAAAACTGTGACAAAAGTACATAAAAGAGCAAAACACTTTGTGAACAAACTTGAGAAAAAAACTGATTTACATATATATTATACATACAAACTGTAATGTACGAGTATTCATACATAGCATA